TAGACTTTTGGATAGCAGCCATCCTGACTGGTGTGTAATGGTACCTCATTGTGGTTTTGATTTGCATTTCTCTGATAATGAGTGATGTTGAGCATCTTTTCATGTGTTTGTTAGCCATCTGTATGTCTTCCTTGGAGAAATGTCTGTTCAGTTCTTTGGCCCATTTTTTGATTGGGTCATTTATTTTTCTGGAGTTGAGCTGGAGGAGTTGCTTGTATATTTTTGAGATTAATCCTTTGTCTGTTGCTTCGTTTGCTATTATTTTCTCCCAATCTGAGGGCTGTCTTTTCACCTTGCTTATAGTTTCCTTTGTTGTGCAAAAGCTTTTAAGTTTCATTAGGTCCCATTTGTTTATTTTTGCTTTTATTTCTAAAAATCTGGGATGTGGGTCATAGAGGATCCTGCTGTGATTTATGTCGGAGAGTGTTTTGCCTATGTTCTCCTCTAGGAGTTTTATAGTTTCTGGTCTTACATTTAGATCTTTAATCCATCTTGAGTTTATTTTTGTGTATGGTGTTAGAAAGTGTTCTAGTTTCATTCTTTTACAGGTGGTTGACCAGTTTTCCCAGCACCACTTGTTAAAGAGGTTGTCTTTTTTCCATTGTATATCCTTGCCTCCTTTGTCAAAGATAAGGTGACCATAGGTTCGTGGATTTATCTCTGGGCTTTCTATTCTGTTCCATTGATCTATATTTCTGTCTTTGTGCCAGTACCATACTGTCTTGATGACTGTGGCTTTGTAGTATAGTCTGAAGTCAGTCCTTCCAGTGAACACCCAGGACTGATCTCCTTTAGGATGGACTGGCTGGATCTCCTTGCAGTCCAACGGACTCTCAAGAGTCTTCTCCAACACCATAGTTCAAAAGCATCAATTTTTCGGTGCTCAGCTTTTTTCACAGTCCAACTCTCACATCCATACATGACCACTGGAAAAACCATAGCCTTGACTAGACAGACCTTTGTTGGCAAAGGAATGTCTCTGCTTTTTAATATGCTATCTAGGTTGGTCATAACTTTCCTTCCAAGGAGTCAGTGTCTTTTAATTTCATGGCTGCAGTCACCATCTGAAGTGATTTTAGAGCCTCCAAAAATAAAGCCTGACACTGTTTCCACTGTCTCCCCACCTACTTCCCATGAAGTGATGGGACCAGATGCCATGATCTTAGTTTTCTGAATGTTGAGTTTTAAGCCAACTTTTTCACTCTCCTCTTTCACTTTCATCAAGAGGCTTTTTAGTTCCTCTTCACTCTCTGCCATAAAAGTGGTGTCATCTGCATATCTGAGGTTATTGATATTTCTCCCGGCAATCTTGATTCCAGCTTGTGTTTCTTCCAGCCCAGCGTTTCTCATGATATACTCTGCATAAAAGTTAAATAAGCAGGGTGACAATATACAGTCTTGACGTACTCCTTTTCCTATTTGGAACCAGTCTGTTCCTGTCCAGTTCTACCTGTTGTTTCCTGACCTGCATACAGGTTTCTCAAGAGGCAGGTCAGGTGGTCTGGTATTCCAATCTCTTTCAGAATTTTCCACAGTTTATTGTGATCCACACAGTCGAAGGCTTTGGCGTAGTCAGTGAAGCAGAAATAGATGTTTTTCTGGAACTCTCGTGCTTTCTTGATGATCCAGCGGATGTTGGCAATTTGATCTCTGGTTCCTCTGCCTTTTCTAAAACCAGCTTGAACATCTGGAAGTTCACTGTTAGGTATTGCTGAAGCCTGGCTTGGAGAATTTTGAGCATTACTTTACTAGCGTGTGAGAGGAGTACAATTGTGCGGTAGTTTGAGCATTCTTTGGGATTGCCTTTCTTAGGGATTGGAATGAAAACTGACCTTTTCCAGTCCTGTGGCCACTGCTGAGTTTTCCAAATTTGCTGGCATATTGAGTGCAGCACTTTCACAGCATCATCTTTCAGGATGTGAAATAGCTCAACTAAAATTCCATCACATCCACTAGCTTTGTTCGTAGTGATGCTTTCTAAGGCCCATTTGACTTCACATTCCAGGATGTCTGGTTCTAGGTGAGTGATCACACCATTGTGATTATCTGGCTCGTGAAGATCTTTTTTGTACAGTTCTTCTGTGTATTCTTGCCACCTCTTCTTAGTATCTTCTGCTTCTGTTAGGTCCATACCATTTCTGTCCTTTATCGAACCCATCTTTGCATAAAATGTTCCCTTGATATCTCTAATTTTCTTGAAGAGATCTCTAGTCTTTCCCATTCTGTTGTTTTCCGCTATTTCTTTGCATTGATCGCTGAGGAAGGCTTTCTTATCTTTCCCGGCTATTCTTTGGAACTCTGCATTCAAATGGGAATATCTTTCCTTTTCTCCTTTGCTTTTTGTTTCTCTTCTTTTCACAGCTATTTGTAAGGCCTCCTCAGACAACCATTTTGCCTTTTTGCATTTCTTTTCCATGGGGATGGTCTTGATCCCTGTCTCCTGTACAATGTCACAAACCTCCGTCCATAGTTCATCAGGCTCTCTGTCTATCAGATCTAGTCCCTTAAAATCTATTTTTAACTTCCACTGTATAGTCATAGGGGATTTGATTTAGGTCATACCTGAATGGTCTAGTGGTTTTCCCTACTTTCTTCAGTTTAAGTCTGCATTTGGCAATAAGGAATTCATGATCTGAGCCACAGTCAGCTCCCGTCTTGTTTTTGCTGACTCTGTAGAGCTTCTCCATCTTTGGCTGCAAAGAATATAATCAATCTGATATCAGTGTCGACCATCTGGTGATGTTCATGTGTAGTCTTCTCTTGTGTTGTTGGAAGAGGGTGTTTGCTATGACCAGTGCATTCTCTTGGCAAAACTCTACTAGCCTTTGCCCTGCTTCATTCCGTACTCCAAGGCCAAATTTGCCTGTTACTCCAGGTGTTTCTTGACTTCCTACTTTTGCATTCCGGTCCCCTATAATGAGAAGGACATCTTTTTTGGGTGTTAGTTCTAAACGGTCTTGTAGGTCTTCGTAGGTCCGTTCAACTTCAGCTTCTTCAGCGTTACTGGTTTGGGCATAGGCTTGGATTACCGTGATATTGAATGGTTTGCCTTGGAAACTAACAGAGATCATTTTGTCGTTTTTGAGATTGCATCCAAGTACTGCATTTAGGACTCTTGTTGACCATGATGGCTAGGCTACTCCATTTCTTCTAAGGGATTCCTGCCCACAGTAGTAGATATAATGATCATCTGAGTTAAATTCACCCATTCCAGTCCATTTTAGTTCGCCAATTCCTAGAATGTTGACATTCACTCTTGCCATTTCCTGTTTGATCACTTTCAATTCGCCTTGATTCATGGACCTAATATTCCATGTTCCTATGCAATATTGCTCTTTACGGCATCGGACCTTGCTTCTATCACCAGTCCCATCCACAACTGGGTATTGTTTTTGCTTTGGCTCCATCCCTTCATTCTTTCTGGGGTTATTTCTCCACTGATCTCCATTAGCATGTTGGGCACCTACCGACCTGGGGGGGTTCCTTTTTCAGTATCCTATCATTTTGCCTTCTTATACTGTTCATGGGGTTCTCAAGGCAAGAATACTGAAGTGGCTTGACATTCCCTTCTCCAGTGGACCACATTTTGTCAGACCTCTCCACCATGACCTCACCGCCTTGGGTGGCCCCACACGGCATGGCTTAGTTTCACTGAGTTAGACAAGGCTGTGGTCCTATGATCAGATTGGCTAGTTTTCAGTGATTATGGTTTCAGTGTGTCTGCCCTCTGATGCCCTCTCGCAATACCTACCGTCTTACCTGGGTTTTTCTTACCTTGGACGTGGGGTATCTCTTCACGGCTGCTCCAGCAAAGCACAGCCACTGCTCTTTACCTTGGACGAGGGGTTTCTTCTGAAGGCCACCCCTCCTGACCTTGAATGTGGAGTAGCTCCTCTCGCCCCTCTTGCACCCGCGCAGCAGCTGCTCCTCGGAGGTGGGTTAGTGATGTTACCTTTTATTTATTGAGCACTTTCCTGACTGTCAAAAATACTGTAGTAAGTATTTTACTACATGACCTGTCCTTTTTTTTTTTAACATGACCTATCTTTGGAGGATTAACTCTGAACAAGCCTGTCAAGTATACACAGTAGCATTATTGTGTGAGGAAACTGATTTTAAAGAAGTCACTTGTTCAGTGCTACATAGTTGAGAAACTCAGAGTGATACCTTATCATACTTTTACCTCTCAACTTTTGATAGTGTAGATGTGAAAGATTTGTATTTGTGTTTATAGGGGTTTGGATTAAATGATTCTGGATCCCAGATAGAGATGGCTGTGATTTTTATCTCTTTTTCTAAAAGCAAGAGGTTCAACTTTGGTATTTGTTTAGGTTAGGGGAGAAGATTTTGGTGAATCTGGTTGCAATTAGAATATTGGTTATAGATATTTAGAACTGGATGGATTCTCAAGTATTTCTCAAATCACGTTCCATTGCATATTGTGGGAATTTTCATATATCCTCACCACAGAAGTTTGGGCAACATTTGGTTTCTGTAGCAGAGAAACCTTAATAGCTTTGAATACTTCAGTTTCTGAAATAAGTTTCTGTAGGAGACATATTCATATGTAGAACAATATCTTGAAGTACATCAGTTTGAGACAAAAGCTTATGTGTGGTCCATTCTCTCATTTTGTTAGGGGAGGAAATGGAGACCCATTGTGGTTAAGTGTGTCGCCTAAAAATCACACAGCTGCTAAGCAACACAGGATAAGATCCAGTCATTCTTTTGTACCATGCTTTGTCTGATAATGTTATATAGTATCTATTTTTCCTGTATTATGTTAAAAGTTAAAAGACTTGTGTGTAGTTTATTTTATATTCCCATCTAGTCCAGACACTAGTCTTATACTGAGAAATTAACATACAGTTTTTAAAATTCAGGATTTATTCACATACAAATACCCTAGCATTATTGAGTATTCATAACTGCTGTGTTTAATCATTAAAATGAAAAGAGTACTTTTTCCTGCAGTAAAGTGTCACATATGTTTGGTTTAGTTTCTGTAGAAAGTGTTTCCTGACTGCAATGAGAGAAAGTGGAATACATTGTCCCCTCTGTCGTGGAAGTGTGACTAGAAGAGAGAGAGCATGTCCTGAACGGGCCTTAGACCTTGAAAATATCATGAGGAAATTTTCTGGTAGCTGCAGATGCTGTGCAAAACAGGTAGAGTAAATGTGATATAATTCTTTGAAAGTCAAGCTTCTGTTCTGAAATTTCTGTTTGAATTGTCTTGGTGTGTACTGTTTTGAAGAGAAATTATTTAGGTTGGGAATAGGGTAAAAAAGGCCAGAAAAGCTGTGGCTGTAGATCTTGCTAGATAATAAACTTACTGAGAACAGAGCCCAGAAGATACGTCCTTGAATTTGCCATAATGTTTAGCATGGCATTTTTTCAAAATAATCACTCTTGATTTACCTACTAAATGAACTGAATGAACAAACTGGCATTTAACTCCCTTAAACCCCATTTTGGTACACTTGCAGTTCTTAAGTAGTTTTTCTGGTAGCATTATTATTGTAATTTTGCCTGTAGAAATGGGCCAAATGGATTATGTAGTCATGGGGAACTCTCTAACTGCCCACTTTACTTGGATATTTATGTGTTTATCTAAAAAAAATCACAAAGTATTTGGCAGAAAACTCCTTACATTTTAAGGAACAGATGGAAAAAATCAGGTATTGGCAATTAACCGACATTATTTCTCCAATCTGGATTTTATTTTGTCATTTGGAGAGGGAGTGAAATGGTGAGAGGTAGTTAGGCTTTGAGTATATTGGTTTATTTATAGATTTATCACAGCCACTTTCTCAAACAGCTAATAAAGTCATTGAGCAAAACCAATTGCTGTTTTATGCATTTACACACGGCATAGCTGATTTTCCATCTCTTTGAGGGAGGTGTTAACTGACAAGGCAATGAAGTGAAGTTGGAAAATATACTTGAAATTTCTGGCTCTGCTCCTTAGAGAGAAACTGAAAAATGTTCCAAGTGTTAATTTGGGAACTTAGTTTTTTAAAGCATTTTCTAACTCTGCCAGGTTACAGTGTTAAAGAAAAATATGCCCAGTGCCATGAGGCAGCTTCTTAATAATTTTAATATTATTTTGTGTCTATTAATAGTATTATTTTCAAGTGTAAAATTATTTATTAATTTATAGGGTCAGTTTATGGACAGTTGGACTCATCTCCATTTTCTCTGCATCTAATGGACAGAAACTTACTTCTTATTTTTAGAATTAAATCATTTACTTAAAAAAACTCTTGTTGAAATGGAATATTTACTTACCTGTTTTTGTCTTGTTTTTTCCTCTTGTTGGCAGTGTCTCAAATCTTAATGAGTTCCCTTTTAAACTAAAAGTCACAATACATTAAAGATTTTTTAAATTTATTTTTAATATGGTGAAAATACATAATGTAAAATAGCCTTTTCTTAGTTTTTTTTTAATAAGTGAAAGATTATGGTAAACCTTATTTTTTTATATAATAAACATCTACATATATTTCCATTTGCTAAGGAAACATGATATGTATATGATATATGTGTGTTATGTATATGTATACACATATATACACAATTTAATGAGGCATCAAGTGAACAATTAGAGTGCAGTATTATGAATGGTAAGGTAGAAAACATACCATTTTTAAGTGTACAATACAGTGATATTAAGTACATTTACTGTATTGTGTAACAGTCACCGCTGTTTCCAGAATTTTTTCATCATCACAAACAGAAAATCTGTACCTGTTAACTTGTAACTTGCTGTTCCCCCCGCCCTGCCATCTTCCCAACCCCATCTAGTAACCTATGTTCTACATTATCTCTCTGAATTCTCTTCTGCCTTATAGAGTGGAATCATATAATGTTTGTTCTTTTGAAAGTCACATTGCTTTTTTAATCAATAATTTACAGATTAAATTCTATCGCATGAGACATCATTACAAATCTTGTAAGAAGTATCAAGATGAATATGGTGTTTCTTCTGTCATTCCAAACTTTCAGATCTCTCAAGATTCAGTAGGGAACAGGTAAGTAATGTTTATTTTTATCGTTAAAATGGAAATTTGGGGGAGGCTATGTAAGGTATTTTTTGTTTTATTTATGTGTGTTTATATTTTTTAATTGCCTGTCTTCATAAGGTTGACACATGTTAAATTGAATCTGGGAAATTGTGCTCAACTTAAGCTTATGTAAGAATTATTTTAAGAAAATTTACATGTTTGAGTAAAAGATTTGTGAATTGAAGGTATTTTCTTTTGCAGGTGAAATTACTTGAAAACTAGAGGAAATCCCTTTTCAGTAATGTCTTTGCAAACTAGAATCTTTTTACTAGTTGCTTGAAATTTTTATTTTGATAAAAAATGTCATGTAAAAGGGAGACTTGGTACTATTATTAGTTCTATTTTAGTCTCAATTCTTTTAAATCTAGGTTTTGGTTTGGTATGTATCTTATTGTCTCAGGTTTATGTATATTAAACATTTTTATGAAATGTATTTTATGCATAAGAATGGCCAGAATGCACATGTGTGGTTTAAAAATTAGTCACAAAGCAAATCCCTAGTTATTCACTAACCCAAATCAAAAATTATATAGCATTTTCCAGCCCCTTAGAGTCTCCTTGAATGCCCATGCTCCATTTGAACCCCATAATCCCAGAGATAATCACTATCCTCTTTTTTGGGTTATTCGTTCTTTTGTTTTCTTTATAGTATTACCACCCATGGATGTATCTCTAAACAATGAAATGTTTTATTTTTAAAAACTCAACAGCAAGCACACACAGTTGTGTAAAGAAAGGCAGTATTGGCAGTATTATAGAAAGGCTCCCAGGAGATGATATGTTAAGCAAAGTCTTTTAACATTTTATTTTAGTAGCATTTCATTTCACTTGTTGCTAATTTTCAGTAATTTAACCACTCTTAAGCACTCATACTATAATAAAGCTTCTTCTCAACTCCTTAGTTAAAACTGTTCTGGTAAAGGTCTTTCATAATTTTTTGATCACTTGTTTACTTTTGATCACTTGTTTAGGTTACTAGCCTTCTCATTTTACTTGGCTCAGTGTCATTGGATGAAATTGGTCACTCCTATTTTGTGATATTTTAAAATTTCGTTTCATCCCCTTAGATTCATTCCTTCTGATTTTTTTTTTTTTAAGTTGTACTTCTGCTGTATTGGAATTACTCAACAATTTTTTATTAACTCAGTAGATTATTCTTAAGTGCCGGGATTATCTTTGTCTTATTCAACAATCATGTCTCTGTCTATTAGCAAAGTTCCTAGTATATGATGTGGGCAGTCACGGCTTGTTAAATAACTCAGTTTTCTTCTCATGAGACATGCCTTCTTCCCTCTTATTCCCCAGGTCCAGCTGGTCGTAGGTAATAGCAGTATTCCTTATCTGTATTCTTCTTCTACCCTATTGTCGTTTCCCTATCAAGTCTCCATCATCTCTCACTTGAACTGTTGCAGTATTCTTTTAGTTGGTGATCCTCCTTTAGTCTGTCCTGCATGCTATTATCAATGTGTATTTCAGAAGTGTAGCTCTGACCTTTTTCTCTGTCTTTGTACCGTCCCTCTGTACCTTGTCAATGACGTCCCATGGCCCCATAGCAGTGTTTCTCATCCTGAACTCCATGGGCCAGTAACAGCTCTGTGAACTACCTAAACTGCCATTTTGTGTGTAGGTACTATGTGTGCATTTTTTCTGGAGAGAGAGTGTATAAAAATTCTCAAGGGATTCCATGATCTAATTCAGCAGCTAGCTTAATAAGACAAAATCCCGTATTCTAAAGCCCTTTCTTATTTGCCCTCACCTTTCTTTTTTAGCCTTTGTCTTTCTTGGTTATTCATTACTGCATCATATGCCTTAGCTGTGTTGAATTATTCCCACCATATCCTTTCCATTCTTGAGAAACAGAATAACTTAGTTGTTAAACATGAAGGCTTGGAGCCAGACTGCCTGGGTACCAGGCTCTTTCCTTTACTAATTGTATGAGTTTGGCAAGAAAGTGTACCTCAGTTTTCTCATTTGTTAGAAAGAGAAAGGGGTAGTGATGATACTATTAAACACCTTATTAGATTGGGAGTCAATAAATAAATAAATAGATTGGTCAATATTGTATTAACCAATAAATAGGTAAAACAATCAATGTTAAGCCTTTTTTTTTTTTTTTTCCTTTTCTGTTTTGGTCACACCGTGCAGCTTGTGGAATCTTAGTTCCTTGACCAGGGATTGAACCTGCAGTCTCAGCAGTGAAAGTCCCAGAGTCCTAACCACTAGTTGTAAAAGTTGCTCAGTCGTGTCTGACTCTTTTTGACCCCATGGATTTAGTTCATGGAATTCTCCAGGCCAGAATACTGGAGTGGGTATCCTTTCCCTTCTCCAGGGGATCTTCCCAACCCAGGAATCGAACCCAGGTCTCCCACATTGCAGGCAGATTCTTTACCATCTGAGCCACAAGGGAAGCCCCCTAACCACTAGACCTCCAGGGAATTCCCTAAATGCTAGTTTTTAATTATCATCATCGTCATAATCATCATCATTCCCTCACCTCCACACTTTCACCCCCGTTCTAACCCATACTCTTTGCCAGCTAGTGGACTTATTCTCTTAGAAAACTTAGACCAAGTGTTAGTTACTCTGAAGTCTTTCCTGTTTACTTGTCCCTGTTTTTTTTTTTATCTAGTATTAATAGAATGGGCTTCCTAGTCTTATTCATGTTGTTTATATCCTGTGCATTTGTTTTGGATATATAATGTGAGGTAGGAAAAGTTTTCCCCAGGTGATAACCATTTGTCCTAGTACCATTCATTGAGGTGTCCATTCATTCCCACTGATTTATGATGCCATTTTGGTCCTATACATCTCTATTCTTTTGTGTTGCTTCATCCCTCAAGAACCATGTTATAGTCATTATTGTGGCTTTAACAGTAGGTTTTAATATCACATCAGCTAGGGAAAGTTCTTCTTGTTGTACCTAGTACCATTCATTGAGGAGTCCTTTCATTCCCACTGATTTATAATGCCATTTTGGTCCTATACATCTCTATTCTTTTGTGTTGCTTCATTTATTCCTCAAGAACATGTTACAGTAATTATTGTGGCTTTAACAGTAGGTTTTAATACCACATCAGCTAGGGAAAGTTCTTGTTGTACTTATTAAATTGCTTCTCTTATTTTTAGCTCTTTGCTATTCCACATGAATTTTAGGATCAGACTTTTGGGCTTCCCAAAAATTCCTGTAGAGGTTTTAATTGGCAGCATTGTTTGAATTTACTGAAATCATATATTAATTTGGAGAGAATTGGCATCATGTGATACTTATTTGTCCCACCATTTCCCATCTGTTTGTCTCTCCATTAAAAAAAATGCACTAAAAGAGGTCCATGTAGAGCACACATGAGTATGTTCTAGTATATCCTTTCCTGGCTTCCTGGGTGGTGCTAGTGGTAAAGAACCTGCCTGCCAAGGCAGAAGACTCAAGAGACATGCGTTTAATCCCTGTGTTGGGAAGATCCCCTGGAGAAGGAAATGTCAGCCCACTCCAGTATTCTTTCCTGGAGAATCCCATGGACAGAGGAGCCTGGTGGGCTGCAGTCCTTGAGGGGTGGGAAAGAGTCAGACACGACTGAGCACACGTACACACACACATCTTTTCCTAGTAGTAGTGACAGTGAAAGTGTTTGTTGCTAGGAAAGCCTTTAGTTTTTGTTGCTGTACAAATAGATCTTTTTTTTTTCTTGTTTTGTAATCTAAGTGGTTATTACTAGTGAGTAGGAATATTAAGGATTTTTATGTAATTTTGTATTTAGAAACCTTGGTGACTAGTTCTAATAGTTCTAAATAATTTTTCTTTTGGATTTATTACATAGAAACTTATTTGGTTTGTTAGTGCAATTTTGTTTCTTACTGCTTTATTTCATACTTGATTTATTGCATTAAATAGGATCTCTATCAGTATTAAATAACAGGTACCTTTTAAAAATTCTTGATTTAGTGGGAATGTGTCTAAAATTTTATTATTAAGTATAGTTGTTTACTACAGTTTTTTAACATAGATATTCTTCATCTGTTCTGTGATTCTGTCATCCTGAATTTTAAGATTTCTCCATAGAATAGTTCTTACTCAAATTAGAATCTTTTATGTGGTTATAAAAGTATGCATGTCTGGCTCCATTCCCAGATAGTCTGCTATCTAAAGTTTAGGCATTTATATTTTTAAAAGCATTGTGGGTGATCAGAGGGTTTTTTGTTTTTGTTTCTATTTATGGAGGTTGAATTTTATTGAATGGTTTTTCTGTATCAGATAAAATGATCATTTTTAAAAAATTGATAATATGGTTGCCAGTAATAGATATTCTATTGTTGAGCTTATTCATATGTTTCTAGAATATACAAGTATGCTACCAGTAGTAGTGTAGGCATGATACAGGATAGTCAGGAAGAGCTAGAATGATAATGAAAACGAAGTAATAATGGAAAGTAGAGAACTGTAAGAGGAGGTGGAGGGGAAAAGCATTTTAAAAGGGCATTAACTTTGATATTAAAATGCTTTAAATTGGAAGTTTTGTGATTGTGTATCCTACCAGTGGAAAAAATTGAGACTATACTCCCAGTATATGTGAGTTTATTTTAAGACTAAGCATGTATTTTATAGTACTGATTGATACTTTATTTTATAAAACATGCAACAGTTAAGATGAAAAAGTTACTTTAAAGAGAAGTTTGCAAAGCAGAAACCAACACAAAATTTTTAAGCAATTTTCAACCAATTAATAAGTTTTCTTTATTTAATGGTATAAAATATTTTCATTCTTAAAGTTTTAATAGTGTTTTTACTGAAAACAGTATTGCTGACTATGATTTCTAAAATTTCTTAAAATCTTGATTTAATACAGTGACAATAATTTAAAGATTTGATTTAGATCCAAATCTTTAGATTATTGATACTTGGTCTTGATGACTATCATGGCTGAAAAAGATACCTACAACACACAAAATAATAGATCCAAATGGAAGAAATATGTCATAGGTTGAGATTCCTATATTTTTCAATCCTGTTTGATAAATACCAGAAGGGCTTTTATTGAAATTTTTATCTTCTTTTGATAAAAACCACTGCAATGATGTAAAGTAATTAGCCTCCAACTAATAAAAATAAATGGGAAAAAAAAAAGAAATTTTTATCTTCTTTGATGTTACCGTTATTCTTACAAACCATTTGCAAGTTTTTATAATGTTTTATAAGGGCATGTTCAAAGTCAAATGATTATATTTATTTGGAAGATTTGAAAACAGTTTAAAAATCTGTTACCAAGTATAGATATGAGACTTAAAAAGAACAGGTGACATCCTGTTTTTGGTAAAGTCATAACATCCTTTTAATAAATGTAATCTCCATAGTGTAAATTTATTTTAAAAGCAGTTTTTAGTTTCCACCTTTACCTGCAGAAACAGATTAATAACTGCTAAAAAGATGCAAAATAATGGTTAATAGTCTTCTATGTGAGGATGAAATCAGGGAAGCTTCCTTGCAGAGAATATGTGTGGAGACACAACAACAGTATTTTCCCAGAAGGGAAATGACTGTCATTGGAGAATATCTGGTAGGTAGATGATACAGTGTTGCTTGTCATTCTATTAAAAGAAAAATGAATAATCAGTTTTCTAAGCTTTACAACTCTTTAACTCTGGTACTCAGATGTAAGCAAAGCTTTTGTGTGGTACAGTTTTTTGGTCCACTGCCTATCTCATTTTTATTTTAATGTTTCTGCTATTGAAAGGTCTTGCTTTTATAAAATTGACTACATTGATAAAATTCTGTAATGCATAGCTGACAATCCCCATAGCATGCCCACCTTTCTTGGGATTTCTCGAATACTGCAAGTGACACATGACACTGGCATGGGGTCCGAATGAGGACATCAAGTTGTTTTGTATGTTAAATGTCAGAAAGCCTTGTTCCTTTTTGGAAAATATAAACATAATGAACATTCAAATATTTTCTTAACCTCCATTTTGGATGCTGCAACTTCAAGCTATGTCCTAGTTACAAGCCAGAAAGTTCACAAATTCTTGATCCTGCCCCAGCATTCAAAAACTTACTAGTCCAGGTAGAGGTAGAGAGTCTCTTAATTTGAAAGTCTAAAGGACCTGGGGAAATATTCATGCTGTGGATTTAAGATTATTCTGCAGAATTCTGTATTCTTTATACTTTTGTAACTATGTCTAAGTTAATTTTTAGAGGATATGATAAGGACATCATAAGCAGTCTTCTTACCAGAATTTATTTAAAAAATAATGCCATAATTATGTCATAGTTCAGAACTATTTGAAGTTCAGGCTTTTCAAACAAATTCAGACTAGTTGTCTTCATTAGCAGGTAATGAATCTGTATCGTGCTTTATTACTTGAGGTATTAACTTCTCTTCCCTCCCCCCACCCCCTACCAATGATTCTTAAGTAATAGGAGTGAAACATCTGCATCTGATAACACAGAAACTTACCAAGAGAATACAAGGTAAGCTTTGGAAATTTCTATTACTTTAGTAAATAATACCCATCATTTTGTAATGATGGATTTTTATTTTTTATTTTTATTTTAATTAAAAAAATTTAATTAGAGGCTAATTACTTTATAATATTGTGGTGGTTTTTGCCATACACTCACATGAATCAGCCATGGATTTACACGTGTTCCCCATCCTGAACCCCCCTTCTACCTCTCTCCCCATTCCATCCCTCAGGGTCATCCCAGTGCACCAGCCCTGAGCACCCTGTCTCATGCATCAAACCTGGACTGATGATCTATTTCACATATGATAATATACATGTTTCAGTGCTATTCTCTCAAATCATCCCACCCTTGCCTTCTCCCAGAGTCCAAAAATCTGCTCTTTACATCTGTGTCTCTTTTGCTGTCTTGCATATAGGGTCATCATTACCATCTTTCTAAATTCTATATATATGTGTTAATATACTGTATTGGTGTTTTTCTTTCTGACTTACTTTGCTCTGTATAATAGGCTCCAGTTTCATTCACCTCATTAGAACTGATTCAAATGCATTCTTTTTGATAGCTGAGCAATATTCCATTGTTTATATGTACCACAGCTTTCTTATCCATTTGTCTTGAAAGCATTTCCCCTAAAGTCAGGAACAAGACAAGGATGCCCATTCTCACCACTACTGTCCAACATAGTTTTGGAAGTTTTAGCCACAGCAATCAGAGAAGAAAAAGAAAGAAAAGGAATCTAGATTGGAAAAGAGGAAGTAAAACTCTCACTGTTTGCAGATGACATGATCCTCTATGTAGAAAACCCTAAAGACTCCACCAGAAAATTAATAGAGCTAATCAATGAATATAGTAAACTTGCAGGATATAAAATTAACACACAGAAATCCCTTGCATTCCTATACACTAACAGTGAGAAAAAAGAGAAATTAAGGAACAGTTCCATTCACCATTGCAATGAAAAGAATAAAATACTTAGGAATAAATCTACCTAAAGAAACAAAAGACCTATATATAGAAAACTATAAAACACTGATGAAAGAAATCAAAGATGACACAAATAGATGAAGAAATATACCATGTTCATGGATCAGAAGAATCAATATAGTGAAAATGAGTATACTACCCAAAGCAATCTGTAGATTCAATGCAATCCCTATCAAGCTACCAACGGTATTTTTCAGAGAACTAGAACAAATAATTTCACAATTTGTATGGAAATACGAAAAAACCTCGAATAGCCAAAGCAATCTTGAGAAAGAAGAATGGAACTGGAGGAATCAACCTGCTTGACTTCAGGCTATACTACAAACCTACAGCCATCAAGACAGTATGGTACTGGCACAAAGACAGAAATATAGATCAATGGAACAAAATTGAAAGCCCAGAGATAAATCCACACACGTATGGACACTGTATCTTAGACAAAGGAGGCAAGAATATACAATGGAGAGAAGACAATCTCTTTAACAAGTGGTGCTGGGAAAACTGGTCAACCACTTGTAAAAGAATGAAACTAGAATACTTTCTAACACCATACACAAAAATAAACTCAAAATGGATTAAAGATCTAAATGTAAGACCAGAAACCATAAAACTCCTAAAGGAAAACATAGCAGGATCCTCTATGACCCACCTCCCAGAGTAATGGAAATAAAAGCAAAAATAAACAAATGGGACCTAATTAAACTTAAAAGCTTTTGCACAATGAAGGAAACTATAAGCAAGGTGAAAAGACAGCCTTCAGAGTGGGAGAAAGTAATAGCAAATGAAGCAGCTGACAAAGAATTAATCTAAAAAAATGTAGAAGCAACTCCTCCTGCAGCTCAATTCCAGAAAAATAAACGACCCAATCTAAAAGTGGGCCAAAGAACTAAACAGACATTTCTCCAATGATGGATTTTTAAATTAAAAATTTTAAATTCAGTTAAGTCATCAGACAATGCTGGAAGTTAGCAGTTTAGAAAGGAATCAGTTGGTTTACAGATCACATTAAATTAGAAGTAGTTAGCTTTTCTGTGTCACTGTGGTCAAGTTTCTTCCATGCATAATTTATGCAAAGTTGTCAGTATTGAACTGTCCCTTGCTGAAATTGAGGGATTAAAAGCCAGTGATGTATGATCCTCAAAATATTTTGAAATGTTGATCATTTTGATAATTGATGTTTTCATTTTTCTGTGAATTTTGTGTGTGTACTCTTAGAAACTAGGATAAATTACCTAGTAATTACCATATTTACCAGTTATATACCATATTTATGGAAGTCTTTTAAAAATTTTAATTTCCTAGATATGGTGTTTCCACACTGGGATACAATGGAATATTTAAAATTTTCAAGAGATATACAGTGGTATCTATTGGTTACATTAATGACTGAATTAAGTTGTTTAAATTTACTTAATAAATGGGACAACTGGGTTTGTTTTTCTTTTTGTTAAGGCCTATTTTAGAGGCACCATGAAAAAGTTTTTCCTAGACAATAAGAGAACTGTAAACTAAGATTGTCTGGGAATATCTCTTATAGATTATTTATTGAAAGCATAGTTTTGAAAAAATGAGAGAATCTTTCATTAATTTGATAATTGTAACTTTTAAAGAAAGAAATAGTAATTGATCAAAAAATAGGAGTGCATCATTCTTACATTACAATTTCAAATTCAGTATGCTTCATTTAAAATTGTTTTATAGTTCTTCTGGGCATCCTACCTTTAAGTGTCCCTTGTGTCAAGAATCAAATTTTACCAGACAGCGTTTACTGGATCATTGTAACAGTAATCACCTATTTCAGATAGTTCCTGTGGTAAGTATGTATGTTTACGACAGTCTTCTGTTTAAGGTATGCTGTTCTATTTATTTCCCTTCATCTGTATACGGGACAGTGGTTAATTTAGATTTGGATGGGGCATTATCAGTAAGGTATGTTTTGTCATCAAAAGATTGATAACTATGAAGCAAAATGAGATACTTGAAATTCTAGTAACTAGGAACTTCCTGGCAGTCCAGTGTTTAAGACTCGCCTTCCAGTGCAAGGGGGTAGGGGTTCCATACCTGGTCTGGGATCTCTGAGATCCCACATACCTTGTGGCCAAGAAATCAAAACATAAAACAGAAGCATACTGTAATAAATTCAGTAAAGACTTTAAAAATTGTCCACATCAAAACAACAAAAAAAATCTTATTAAAAAAAAAAATCCCAGTAACTATAAGAAGAGAGAGGCTTATTGTGAGGGTAAAGTAAGAGCAGAGCTTGGAAAAGAGCAGAGTGAGGAAAGGTGCACTGAGGACTCGTTACTGAGGGGAGCTTTGTAAACAGTGTCTTTGCTGAATGCTGGCGCTAGTGGTGAAGAACCCACCTGCCAGTGCGGGAGACGGTTGAGACGTGGGCTTGATCTCTGGGTCAGGAAGATCCCCTGGAGAAGGAAATGGCAACCCACTCCAGTAATCTTGCCTCAAGAATCCCATGGGCAGAGGAGCCTGGGGTACAGTCCGTAGGGTTGCAGTCAGACATTACTGAAGTGACTTAGCACAAAAGCACACACAGAATGTGGTACATTCTACATGAGAACATAAAGCAAAGAAGGAAAAGAATCATACTTTCTTTTTGATGGATTCATATCTTTTTGATGCCCTTTTGAGGATGTATGGGAAGTAGTGGGACCTTTCTGATGATGGAAGGAGGTAGAGGGGAGTGCAGGATTCCACCATTGTGTTCATGGGCCTCCCGCTCCAACATGAGTTTCAGTTTCAGCTGTGGATGAAACACAAACTGAGCTGGAAGAACTACTTCCCATTTTGACACATAAATGTTTTCCTTAGAAGTTAGAAGGAAAATATAGATAAAATAAGGATTGTGTATACATCTAAGCAATTTTAGTGGCTATACTAGAGAAAAGTTGTGGAAGAGTATGTCTCAGTATGCCCTCGAAGTCCCATGTGTTGTCATGGAGATACCCCATCTACTTTCCCCATTAGGAGAGAGTCTGTTACTGTTTAGCAGTGCCAAAAGACATCTCTAGGGAAAAATCACATATTTAAGAGATTTCATTTCATTTGTTTTATATTGCATTAGTGATTTTTTTTGTTGCTGCATTATATTCAATATAGCACAAACTTTGTCTATAGTCCGGTTACTGAAGTTCTGTTTTGTTTCATTTCTGTCTAATTCATTCACTTTTTAAGATGTACTTTAAACCTTTAGGGGCTTCCCTTGTGGCTCAGTTGGTAAAAGAATCCACCTGCATCGTGGGAGACCTGGGTTTGATCCCTTGGTTGGGAAGATCTCCTGAAGAAAGGAAAGGCTACCCATGCCAGTACTCTGGCCTGGAGAATTCCATGGACTGTATAGACCATGGGGTTGCAAAGAGTCAGACACGACTAAGCAATATTCACTTTCACTTTCAAACCTTAAGGATACAATTTAAAGCTTCCTTTCCTTTCATCTTATAAATGATGTTGAACTAGTAATAATTATTATATCACAGTTTTTTTATGACTCTAATGAGAATACATTCTGTTGTTCAGTCACTAAGTTATGTCTGACTCTACAACCCTTGTACTGCAGCATGCCAGCCTTCCCTGTCCTTCATTATCTCCTGGAGTTTGCTCAAACTTACATCCTTTTGAGTCGGTGATGCTATCTAACCATCTCATCCTTTGCAGCCCCTTTCTCCTTTTCCCTTCACTCTTTCCCAGCATCATGGTCTTTTCCAGTGAGTTGACTCTTTGCATCAGGTGGCCAAGTATTGGAGCTTCAGCTTCAGCATCAGTCCTTCCAATGAATAATCAGGATTGATTTCCTTTAGGATTGACTGGTTTGATTTCCTTGCAGTGCAAGGGACTCTCAAGAGTCTTCTCCCATACCACAGTTCAAAAACATCAATTCTTCAGTGCTCAGCCTTCTTTATGGCCCAACAGATGTGAGAACATCTGTACATGACTATTGGAAAAATTGTAACTTTGACTATATAGGTCTTTGTTGGCAAAGTGATGTCTCTGCTTTTTAATATGGTTTGTCATAGCTTTTCTTCCAAGGAGCAAGAGTCTTAATTTTATGACTACAGTTACCATCTGCAGTGATTTTTGAGCCCAAGAAAATAAAACCTCCCACTGTTTCCATTTTTTCCATTTGTTTGCCATCAAGTATTGGGACCAGATACCATGATCTTAGTTTTTTGAATGTTGAATTTAAAGCCAGCTTTTTTACTCCTCTTTCACCTTCATCAAGAGGCTCTTTAGTTGTTCTTCAGTCTCTGCCATTAGAGTGGTATCATCTGCTTCTCTGAGGTTGCAGATACTTCTCTTGACAGTCTTGATTCTAGCTTGTGATTCATCAGCCTGGCATTTTGCGTGATGTACTCTGCATAGAAATTAAATAAGCAGGGTGACAATATACAGCCTTGACATACTCCTTTCCCAATTTTGAACCAGTTCATTGTTCCATGTCTGGTTCTAACTTTTGCTTCTTGACCTGCATATACGTTTCTCAGGAGGCAGGTAAGGTGGTCTGGCATCTTCTTAAGAATTTTCCAGTTTGTTGTGATCCACAAAGTCAAAGGCTTAGCGTAATCAATGAAGCAGAAGTAGATACTTTTCTGGAATTCTCTTGCTTTTTCTGTGATCCAACGGATGTTGGCAGTTTGATCTCTGGTTCCTCTTAGGCTTCATCAGCATGAGCATTACCTTGCTAACATGTGAAATGAGGACAGTAGTATGGTAGTTTGAACATTCTTTGGCATTGCCCTTCTTTGGGACTGGAATGAAAACTGACCTTTTCCAGTCCTATGGCTTTTGCTGAGTTTTCCAAATTTGTTGGAATATTAAGTGCAGCACTTTTTAACAGCATCATCTTTTAGGATTTGAAATATCTCAGCTGGAATTCCATCACCTCCACTAGCTCTTCATAGTAATTCTTCCTCAGGCCCACTTGACTTCACACTCCAAGATGTCTGACTTTAGGTGAGTGACCATTCCGTAATGGTTATCTAGATTATTAAGATCTTTTTTGTACAGTTCTGAGTATTCTTGCCACCTCTTCTTAATCTCTTCTGCTTCTCTTAGGTCCTTGCCTTTTCTGTCGTTGATTGTGCCCATCTTTGTATGACATGTTGCCTTGGTATCTCTGATTTTCTTGAAGAGATCTCTAGTCTTTCCCATTCTATTGTTTTCCTCTGTTTCTTTGCATTGTTCACCTAAGAAAGCTTTCTTATGTCTCTTTGCTATTCTTTGGAACTCTGCATTCAGTTGGGTATGTCTTTCCCTTTCTCTGTTGCCTTTCACTTCTCTTTTCTCAGCTGTTTGTAAGGCCTCCTTAGATAACCATTTTTCCTTTTTGCATTTGTTAAACCAAAAACACAGAAAGCTAACCAAAATGATCACATGGATCACAGCCTTGTATAACTCAGTGAAATTATGAGCCATGTGGTGCAGGACCACCCGAGACAGATGGGTCATGGTGGTGAGTTCTGACAAAATGTGGTCCATGGTGGGAGTAGCAAACTACTTTAGTGTTCTTGCTTTAAGAGTCCCTTGAACAGAGAATACATTCTGGTTAACGGTAATTGTCATTACAGTTGGTTAAGGCTGGATGTGGTGTTTTTGTTAAAAAGTAGAATAATCAGATTTAAGTAACAGAATATATAGTATCTTTCTTTTTATTGTGTTGCATCAGATTAGTATACTTTGTCTAAGGTAATTTGGTCTAGAACTAATCTAATCATGAAATTTGGCCCTTAGAAGTGCTTTATGTACAATTTTTTGGTAACATGTTTTAATGCTTTCAATAATAATGTTGAGTTATTTTCATTATTTTTTATTTGAAATATTCTGTTTCTTATAGACGTGTCCTATTTGTGTGTCTCTTCCTTGGGGAGATCCTAGCCAGGTTACTAGAAATTTTGTTAGTCATCTAAATCAAAGACATCAGTTTGATTATGGAGAATTTGTGGTAAGTGAATTTTTCAATATTAAGAAAATACTTTTTAAATATTGAAGTCACATTAACCTTTCAGTCTAGATGAGTTTTGAGGTGAAATACTGTATCATGTTGGATGAATATAGAGCAAGTTCTGTTGATTTTATAATAACTTAGGTGAACTTTGGTTTGTATAAGTGGTGAATTTATTGTCCACGTCCTATACTAGAGAGATTATTAATAGAGGACTAGCAAACCCCTGGATTAACAAGATGCTCATTTATATGAATATTATCTAGATTTAAGAAAAATTATACCTGCTAGAAAAGTAAAGTTGGTATGACAGCTAGAGGATGTATTTCTTGTGTAGTATAAATAGCTTGTTAAACTCATAATATCTACATGTGAGAGACATTCTTTTATAAAAATGCAGAGCTTATTTATTAAGTAATGAAAGTGAGAGTGTTAGTCACTCGGTTATGTCTGACTCTTTGTAGCCCCATGGACTGTAGCCCACCAGACTCCTCTGTCCATGGAATTGTCCAGGCAAGAATACGGAAGTGGGTCCCTTCTCTAGGGGATCTTCCTGACCTAGGGTAAAGTCAGGTTGAATAGTAGATTCTGGCCTTAGTTCATTGCTTTAACAGAGTACATGAGGGAAGTTATATAAAAATGGATCTCCAGAGCAAAGCATGAATTTAATTTTTACTTCCCAAATGTGTCTTGATAGTTTAAAAAAATTAGATGACTTTTATTAATTATGAATTTTCATTTTATTCATCTTCAGTGAATTAAAAGTCTTATTAGAATTCAGCCTGACAAAAAATGGTTCATATTTGTTTTCCTGTTTAGGTTAGCACAGGCATGGGCAATTCTGAGATTGGCAGGAACAGAATTTACACATCCCTGCCCCTCAGTGTTGAAATTACATCATTCTTGATATATATTTTTATTTTGTGTAATTTGTACTTTTTAGTGATACCATATAAAAATGGTCAAATATATGTAGAATTCAGGTGTAGTCTGATAATTTTAGCATTTTTATGGTGTAATTATAGATTATTCTGAATTCTCAATGTAAGAAAGGTTACTGCATCTGGAGAATTATGTTTGGAAAAACAAAAATATATTTTGTGAACCACTTTTGATCTGATTGTCAGATTGTTTTAACTTGCCACAGAAGAGCATTTAATTTTAATTATTCAAGTTGTAAAAGAGGAGGCCTATTTTAAAGCAAATCCATGGACCATAATTGAAAGGAAACAGAATTTTTTAAGTTAAGGAGTAATAGTATAATCAGATTGAGTGGACTTTAGTTGTTATCTTTATATTATGATTAAGATGCTATTAATTCAGGTTAGCATCAGGCATTGTAACTCTCAAATTTCATTCTCTGCTGATCCTCTCTTTTGTTTATCAGTTTTTATAAATAGTTATAACTGAATTTTAAAATTTTAGATCTTATATTTTAAGTTTATGTTGTAACAAACGATTTCAAGTATATGTAATGTGTATCAAGATGTGTAATGTGTATCAAGATGTGTAATGTATTGGGCAAAGTATTGAGTAATTGAGTATGTTTTTTCTATTGACATGTTAATGTTACATTTTTAGAATCTTCAGCTAGATGAGGAAACCCAGTATCAAACTGCTGTTGAAGAATCTTTTCAAGTAAACATCTGAAGGCTGTAGACACCTCTGCATCTTTGTACCTGCAAGTGCCATCTTTAAGGAGAAAACTACATGAAGTCACCATTTCAATAACTTGATGTGTATATTAATAAAAGTAATTCAGTCTATTGTTTTAGTTTAATTGAAAAATAAAGGTGGGCCATGTAAAAACTTAATTCTTTTGATAAGTTAAAAGATAAAGCTTAGGACATTATCTTTATAAACATTAAAAGGATTATATTTCATTAATAGTGAAAAGAGAATCCCTATTGTACTTATCTTTTTTGCATTACATATTCTTGAATTTTTCCTTGCTTTTGAAATTTGGTGCAGTTCCTCCCATTGACATTATTGTACACAGGTAACACAGTACCAAATTCTGAATGATGTGATTAATATAAACCTAACAAAACTGAGCCAGTTATTTGAGTTGCAAATGGAGACTTGAAGTGCTAAATGAAACAATCCAAAGGAAACTTTTTTAAATACAGATTCTAGCTGAAGAATTCAACTATAAGAAAATTGTATTTATATAATGTTTAGTATTTTTGAAGACTAGTGAGATTTCTTTAATAATTTTAACTCTTTAAAAAGCAAAAGCTCATTGTATAGAAATTTCCTTTTTGCTGTTAGAAGGAAATATCAAGAGAAAAATTGATTTCTTTGGTGAAGAGTTGGTAATGTCAAATCTTGTTTGTTTGGCTGACTAATTTGTAAGCCTCAAATACAGTAAGCTGAATTACAGCTCTTTGGCCTCAGAATTTTCAATAACAGAATTGCTGGTTAGCTATGATTAACTTTTTATTAGAAACTTGCAGTTGGTGATATTACATTCTCTCTATATATTTAAATGAGAGGTTTGACTTCGTCTCAATTTAGAAATTTATTCAAAGCTCAATATGTGTATGTATATATACATGCACTTTTGTATGTGTATATACACATGTAAGCATGCAGTTTGTCTGGTTATATGCAGAATTTCTATTAAGATTTTTAAAAGGGACAAGTAATATGGGGTTGATGTGTTTATCTGAGTTGATTAAAATTTTGTATGTTACCAAAATTTTTAAAGTAACAGTCAAATGCTAAGTTGTCTACTTGGCTACTCTGACACCTTAAAAATTGAGTTTACACACCTACACAATTATATGTTTATATGGTGCTCATTTGTTATCTTAAAGATAATGAGGGACTATAGTAGTGAGATGGATCCTACCAGCCACTCTGTTTCACTACATTTTAGTCAAAATTGAGTTCATTCTTAGTATTCATTAATGAAAGTCATAAAATAACTTGTACTAGATGGCCCAAATCACAGAATAAAGCTGAAAAGTGGATTAGCTGACATTCCATACTAATATAATTGTTTATGCTTTCTTTAAATTAAATAACTAAAAGAACATAAAATCTCAGAAGTAGTTTGCTGCTAATATATACATATGTTGTATAAAAAGGTATATTTTGGTTTTGTTAAAACCCTTGTTGACTTTTCTACAGTGAATGTTTTTTTAACTTGATTTAATAAAAATGTTAATTTTGAAACGGAGTTTTGTAAAAACCTTTTTCAGTCAAACAGTAATCACTTTATTTATGGGTAGTAATAGCAATCACCAAAAAAGCCATACATCTTAACACATGCCTTGTTTCTGTCGTCCTGGAGAGTGGTGTTTACTATGTGCTTGAACGTTTCTCTGTGGTTACATGAGTGTAATTGTAAGAATAGCTGTTTAATGAACTCTTTTAAAAGACTTTTGACTATAGATTTTTCCAGTTTAAAGCAATAACTTCAGTACTTTCTTTCAGAATTTAGTACTTCCAGTATGTCAAGTAAAACCATTCTGAGATTTGAGAACTTCTTTAAAGGAAAATATAGAGATCATCTTGATGAAATTGTGTTTTGAAGTTTGTGGATTAGTTAAATACTATTTTATTGTCTTGTGTGTCTTTCATAAACGTTTTTTCATAAGGAAAATACCAGCTTTTACTCGCTGTTACCTGGGAACTCCTCAGTATGGAAATATTTGTTGAAAACCTCCCATCCTTTGAGCAGTGGTTTAGGAATAGGGAGGAAACGGTTGATACTTTACACCTAAATTTCACAGTACCACTTAACAGGCCTCAGAAGTTTATGTTGTTAAGCAGAGTCTTATTTGAGATGTACTGCTTTATTTTTCAATTAAACATGGTTTTCTCCTACTTGTGTGTCTAATTAAAATTTTGTCTAGAGGCAAACATGATAGCATTTTAACTCTTATAACTCATCCTGGAAGACATGTAGGAGATAACCCATTATTTTGTATTTAAAAATGTGGATAGGAGAAAGCTACCACATGCTGATGCTGTATGTTGGGAGTAACTTTACAAACCTATTTTATCTTTATTTCAAATGTTAATCAACTTATAAAGCTATTTTATCAAGTGTTCACACAGCAGGATTTTCAAGCCCTGCAATTTAATAGCAACCAGGCAGAAAGCTAGTTAACTGGTTAACAGACATTTTTTAATGGAAAAGTTACCCTTAAATAAGGTATCAGGGTTATACGAATGCATTGCCAAACACAATGTCACATACCTGTTGCGTGCTTAGTAAGTATTACAGTCTTCAGTGAGTCATAACTTGATAGGAACCCCTTAGGGCTGCTACTTAAAGAATGAACCCTCTCTGGAGGTGGTGATATTTGTAGAAAAGGTGTGTCCCAGAATACATGTGAATACATACAGTATAAAACTTCTAATAGAAATATGAATTAAAAACTCATTCTGTGATACCACTTAGTATGCAATGTAATTTTCTAATTAGGCAGTGCAGTTCTGAAAAAGATGGGGAATAGAAATGAGTTTTATCAAGGGATTAAAAGAGGATACAGAGAATCCCATAAGTCCTCTTATTTGAATGACAACTTGCCACTAATATCACAAATTGTTTTGCCTGTTTTTATACTCTTACAGGGGGAAGCACTCAGTAAAGATTGTATCCAGCTACTTTTGTTCAATATTGTTTTGAAATTTCTAGATCAGTTTTTAGTCTACAGCTGCCTACAATAACTTGTCTTTTGTCCAGAACAGAAAAGCTAAAAAGTTGCTTCTAAAGCTACTTTTAAATATTTGTGTGTGAAAATTAACTGAATTACAAGTGGTTCTTTTTTCATGTATGTTGACTCCTAGTGGTTCAACATCTAGATAAAACCTGAAAACTGACTGGTCTTCCTTTTGTAATAACTGGAAAAACAGGTGAAGAGTGTAAACAAATGGTTTTTCACTGAAACCAGGTAAGAACCTGACCTTTCTCATACTGTTTTCAAGGGCATTTTGTTAGGAACAAGATTTTAATATGTCAGGACTGTATTTTCTGGTAGTAGTGTGTAACACTACCAATAGAAGCTTAAAAAGGGCTGCTGCAGGTGATACAGAAGAAGGGAGTAAATGTATGTTCATGGGATAGTATAAAAGCTCTTAAAACAACCAAGCCTAGTTTCTTGGACTAGGTAGCCTGGTTTTGATGGTTCTGCAAGTTGATACACTTCCTGTGGTTTGGAACAAATTGTGTAGCCTCTCACCTCTGGACTGTGGAGATTAGGAGTTAATATGCAGAGTTCTTGAAATAGAGCCTGTTGTCTTTACTATTACTGTGTATTCAGTACAAATTAACAGTTATGTTTACATCTGGCAGGTCTCTTCAATTTCTGTAAAATTTTGTTTGTAAAATCTGGATTTTTGTTTTGTTTTTTACAATTTTTTAAGGATTTATTTATTTTTTTATTGAAGGATAATTGCTTTACAGACTTTTGTTGTTTTCTGTCAAACCTCAACATGAATCAGCCATAGGTATACATATATCCCCTCCCTTTTGAACTTCCCTGCCATCTCCCTCCCCATCCTACCCCTCTAGGTCGATACAAAGCCCTTGTTTGAGTTTCCTTAGCTATACAGAAAATTCCTGTTGGCTATCTATTTTACATATGGTAATGTAAGTTTCCGTGTTACTCTTTCTATACATCTCACCCTCTTCTCCCCTCCCCCCATGTTCACAAGTCTATTCTCTATGTCTGTTTCTCCATTGCTGCCCTATAAGTAAATTCTTCAGTACCGTTCCGTATATATGCGTTAGAATACAATATTTATCTTTCTCTTTCTGACTGACTTCACTCTGTATAATAGGCTCTAGGTTCATCCACCTCAGAACTGACTAAAAGGCATTGCTTTTTATGGCTGAGTAATATTCCATTTTGCATATGTACCACAACTTCTTTATCCATTGATCTGTTGATGGACATCTAGTTTGCTTCCGTGTTCTACCTATTATAAATAGTGCTGCAGTGAACAATGGGATACATGTGTCTTTTCCAATTTTGGTTTCCTCAGGGTATATGCCTAGGAGTGGGATTGCTGGGTCATATGGTGGTTTTATTCCTAGTTTTTTAAGGAATCTCCATATCATTTTCCATAGTGGCTGTATCAGTTTACATTCTCACCAACAGTGCAAGAGGGTTCCCTTTTCTCCACACTCTGTCCAGCACTTATTCTTTGTAGACTTTTTGTAGATGACTGTTCTGACCAGTGTGAGGTGGTGTCTCATTGTAGTTTTGATGTGTATTTCTCTAATAACAAGTGATGTTGAGCGTCTTTTCATGTGTTCATTAGCCATCTGTATGTCTCCTTTGGAGAAATGTCTGTTTAGGTCTTTTTCGCACTTTTTGATTTGAGTTTTTTGTTTTTCTGGTATTGAGTTGTATGAGCTAATTACATATTTTGGAAATTAATCCTTTGTCAGTTTCATTTGCTATTATTTTCTCCCATTCTGAGGGTTGTCTTCGTCTCCAAGAAGTACAAATAATCCAGAAAAAGAAATTTTAAATAAAAAATATCTTTAAAAATAATCTTTATAAAGAATAGTCAGCTGATTGTCATCCTGTTGAGAAGAAAAATGTACAATATTTGTAATATTAGCAGATGACTTGAATAGCTTTTATATGATTGCCTAGGTTATTCGGTTGTCTCTTTAAGACCTCCCC